CAGGTGTTGAGCTCGGTGAGATTAATTTATTAAATGCTTTTTATTATATCAAAATATGCAAAAAGATGTTAGTTGTTCTCCATTTCCAGATGCATTTTGTTTCTAGAATGATAGAACTTGGTTAGGAATAGGAAAGTACTCATCTATAAAAATTGACTGCACACACGGACACACAAATCTCATTCTTGGAGGTATTTTCAAAATAAAACTGTACAGTGATTTCCCCAGGATTTAATTGTGGCTGTTTCAGACAGAAGGCTGTTGGGGAAAATGTCTGAAGCTTTTAGAGTTTGTGATCCACGATCAAAGCTAACAGCACACACACAAAGCATCCAGGACCCAGCAAAAAGAATACTTCTTTTTAAAGGGTTAAAAATGATACCTGTGCTTCTATCAGTAAACAATCCAATTCATATCCTTTGCAATAAGATGACCAGTATCACAAACTCTATCCATCCTTGATGTGCATGTAAGTTCTTTTGGCAGCCCTCAGATGTTAACAGAATGACACGCCACGCGTTAAACTGTGGGGACATCTCACCTTCCGAAGCAGCCATGACATTTGCCCTCCCTTTCAAGGTAGTTCCACAGGCCGATCGATTTTCCATTTAAGAAGGCCTCTCCCATGCAGCCTTTAAAATGAGTAACCTTCACAGCAGGAGATTTCTAATGTAAGGAAACAAACAGACATAACCCACATACAGTTGGTGAAGCGAAAAAAAATTCTCTAATTGCACAAAACTTCCTAGGAGCTCAAATCTAACAGATCCAAATTGTGAGAGAACAACATTCAGAAAAATGGCCAGTTTGTAATCACTGGATTTCCTTCCAGTTATGAAGTGGAATTCTAGAATGAGTGAGAACTAGATAGGATCTTAAAGATTATCACTGTGACTAGGGTTGCCTGAGAAAAGCCTCCTTTGCACGTGAGGAAACAGAGACCCAGGGAATGCAGTCGACTGTCAGGGCCCAGAACATTACACCAGGTCCAAGAACTAAACTGTATTTAATACAGGTGAGAGGATAGCAGATATAAAATAAATACGATGGGCTCTTTTGCTAAACGCTAATTAGTATTAGTCAACCACTAGAGTTAGAGTAAAGGAACTTCACAGAAATTAATATGGAATATTGAATTTCCTGTTTTATCACTGGAAAAGAAACACAAACAGCAAAATAAGCCATTGGCTTCTCCATGTACGCTACTGATCAAGCATTTACCCTGCAACTAGCCCTGCTATGCAGGTGAGCTGCCATGAAGCAAAACAATAGAAGCAGAAAAATCTCCATCTGCCTGGGATCTATTCAACGATTCAAACATATAGATTTTATAGATAGGTAAAGTCAGCCAATCAGTCTTGTTCAGCGGAACTTTCAAACTGTTACCTTGATTTGACCTCCAAGTCCTCCAACGAACATGAGTGTTGAATTGTTTATATCCAGAACGTTGGCTGTTCCAGGGGATTTACTTGTTTTCGTCAGTGGCTTTTGATTTGAGCTCATTTCCTTTACGCTCAATGAACCGATATTTCCAAATCTGAGGGTCACAAAGAATTGTAAAAGGAACTTCCATAATTTCATGTCAGTGCACATATTTCCCCTGTGTTTCATCCATGGCCGCCATCTGCTCTCCTGCAGTGGAGGGGAGAACAGCACTCCCTACTGGTCTCCCTGCTTCCAGGCTTATCCACCCCACCCCCAATGGCTCCCCAAAATCTTGCAGAGTGGTTCTTCTGAAACAGACATTTCATCATGTTACCTCCCTGCTTAAAACAGCTCATACGAGTTGAACGGTATTTGAGGATAGTTTACTCCCTTCAGTAGCACCACACTTTGTAAATAATGAAGAAAAAACATCCCAACAACACACCATACTATTACAGAAAAGTGAAA